GTTCAACATTTCAATGCAGAAACCTTCCTGAGTATAGCACTTCTAAAAAGTCAACCAAGTTGCAATACCTTGAAGCGCGCTAATAAATATTTGAATTATTGTTTGCGCAACGACGATGCTTGAGAAAAACATTATAACGGACATGTTAATACTGATATAATTGGCCAGGAGTACATATATGGAGTCTGAAAATTTACTTGTATTGAAAATGGAAATGGAAACAAAAAAGGGGCAAAGAATTGGAAATTTATGGGGTGCAGGGGCCGAACCCCATGACACCAAAATTGCAAATGAATTGGCAAAGTTATAGGCACATACAAGCATGAGACGAATTTTATGCCAATAATACAATGTTATATAAGCTAAAAAGAAAATGGGGTTATGCAAAGAGAGTTACGGCAAGGAGGATGAAAATTGGGGATGACAAGACTTGCGCTTATAAAATTTTAATTTGGTCAAGAAAGGGAAATTTAAAAAATCAGCATATTCTCATTAAGTGGGACTCAACATAAAATTTAAATCTTGTGTCATAAATATATTCTCAAAGAATAAAAGTCTTTGTTCATGTCTCTTTGTTAAATTCACATTCTAAACAAAGATGTAGTTGCCACACTAAATGGTCCTATAGATGTCTTGATACATAATTGATGCTTTTATAAATTGTTATGTCAATTGAAATGATTTTATTCACTGATTGATAATAGAAATGTTTTTACTAAATGAACTGATGAGCTAATCCCAATTTGACTTATTTCCTTTTATGCATTTATTATATATTTTGTTTGCATAACTCTTGACCAACCATGACTGGTTTGGCTATGACGCATATCTAAGTATTTCAATACTTAGGCATCATTTGTTTAGGTTTAGGAAACAGTCGAGTGCAAGGTTGCCAGCGTACAGGCTAGAGTTCAACTTAATTCTTTTGGTGAGCCCACTTTTGGACTAGTGGGATCACTAAATTTTAGTTCTATATTTTTGCAGCCCTGGCAAACCTTGCAACTTAATTATTCATTTGTAGCATCATAAAGGCCCCATAAACGATTTGTATTACTTCTGAGTGATGGATACTCATACAGAATAGTGAATGACATTTCAACTTACGTCTAGTTTACGCTTTGATCCACCTTGATCGTTAATGCAGTTCACTATATTTCTCCCATAATTAATGTTGTTATTAATTTAATGAAATGAATTATGTGATACAAGATGGGGTACGCATTATGCTACAATAGTGCGCTCAGTGCAAGTTGGTAGGCACTAGTGCCGGACGCATAATCCATTTGGGATGCGACATTGATTTCCACCAGTCAACAGCTAATTTGACTTTTTGACTCAAACGCCAACTTAACTGTTAAAAGTTATAGTTTACCAATCTTAATGGTTATACCAATTAATATTAATGGCAGAAGCATAATTCTGCTACACACTTAATGGAAAAAAACATAACTTTACTACACATACCATTACGTAATAGTCTCCTACCCTCCCTTTATAATGCACGCTAGGCACTCCATGGCTGCCTCCAAGAGTACTGCTCAACAAAACAAGTTTAGTCTAGTTAGAATCATATTCTAAAATGAGCACCCATTCACTCCAAAAGAGGTCCATATCCATACTTGTAAACTTGCCACTCATGTGGAGGACCATAGTTACAGCCTTTGCTTTTCATATGCTCAAATTTCAGTGCAACCTGGAGCCATAAAGATAAACCAGTGAGAGTAAAATCCCCTAATATTACTTGTGGAAAACAAATTGTCTAGCATAGGCAGTGAGAGGGGAAGGGGGAGACCAAGCACATACCTCAACAGCCCCTTGACCATTTGAAGATTCATTTCCACCAGAAAGACGACGACCCAAAAAGACCTGACCAAACCCACCTTTACCTAACTTCCTTTCAACCTGATAAACTGGCGACATTCCTACTTTCACCTGAAAGTCAAATTCAACCAGAAACAAAAGATAAGTTCACTTTACAAGTTAAATCCCTGCTGGATTCATCAAAGCAGAAAATGGTTAAAGTTGCAATTACAGCAAATCCAAATGCAAGCAATTCAATTCATAAGTAACCTTCATACAAATATGATGCTTCTATCTTCATTCCTTAAGTTCATAAAATCACAAGCTTATAACTAATCTAACTAGAGTGGCTAATATAATCAAAACAATGCACAAGAGAACGACATAATACTATGTTTGGAATTTGATGATAATGATTCCTAATTGGAAAAGTTTTTTCTTTGACCACTCAATCATATAAAAGAACATGCTAAATAAAATAATTAATCGGTCTATTTGAGATTCACATGTAGGAGGAGGGTTGCAATAGGTTGACAGCCATCATACAAATAGTCAAACTTTAACTAACCAACGGACACCAATGTATCATTAGCTGGTTCCTGCTAATTATGGAATGAGGCATAGTTAATTAATTTATAAAGTTTCGAACGATAAAATAATTTTGACAAGCTATATTACACGTCACGTGCCACGAGTCGACAACATTAAGAATTTAGCACCCAAGCTTGTCATAAAGAGGTCAATGAAGTGGACTAAAAACTTGGAGACCAAGGTTCAAATATACGAAAAAGCTACTTGACTTCTTCTCATTTGTCTAAGTCTTGGTAAAAGCAAAGTCATCATGTACCTATATTGGTAGGAGGTAGCCAAGGGCGTGAGGGTGTTCATCCGAATTCCCTCAACATTTGCACAGTGGTTATTTTTTATTTACGTATCATATAGATTTTGAATCTTCTGATAGACTAGCGGATGGCTTAGTGGTTTAGGGGTTCCTAAGTTCAAATACCAAGGACTACAACTTTTTTTTTCGGAACCCCTAGATTGAAATCTTGTATCATCGACAGCGGCCATTGCCTCAGCTCTGTTCAGGTTTACACCTTATGGTTGATGGCTTTAAGCATGTATACAAAAAAAACAATGAAATCACAAAGAACCCACCTTTTTAGGGATAGGAGAGTTTTTACCATCATCATCTTGCTCAGTTCCTTTGTTATTAGCACTCAACCCACCGCTCTGATCCCCCATTTCCTCTTCAACTCTTCTGCTTTTGCCTTAGCAGCACAGGTCTTTACGAAACTTCTTCCCTTCCCGCTGGCTGCTGGTTTTTCAACACCTACAGGCATTAGCGTTCTTTACAAACAATGCAAGTAGAACAAAACCCAAAGTGACCATCATCAATACAAAATTGATCGTTTGAATTCTTCAACAAGTTTTCAACAGCGATCGAAACAAATAGAAAGATGAATGAGCAGTAAGATTAAAGAGGTCTTGATGCTAGGGTTTGTTGAAGAAACATCCAAAAGAAATATCAACAAAAGTGTAGGCGACTGTTGGGTTTTTGGGTGTATAATATGTTGATATTATTAGAGAGAGGCGTCTATTCATGCGTTTTTGGTTTTCGAAATTGTATTTGGAAATACTTTTTGCTACCTTAACTTTTGCAATTTTGAGTTTGGTGCCATATGACTAAACATATTTAGTTCTCTTAAAAATTATTAATCAAGTTTCTCAATATATTTTATTTATTTATTTTCTATTATTAATTATGTGATATTCATCAATTTTTGTGTATTCGAACTGATTCAATAAAATATTTGTATCTTATTGTTTCTCATATATCATGTAACTATAAAAATAAAAATATATAATATTTTAAAGTAATAGATGAACTCAGTTATATTATTTTGAGGCAATATGAATACAACTTTGTTATAGCATAACTGTAGTGAAATTTTGTGGTTTAATGACGTATTTCGGTTATAACAATAATATGTATCAACTATGATTTTATAAGTGATGTATGAGAGAAATTGTATTTTTATTTTGTTTATGTTAAGTTTATAAACAGATTGAGTTACGTGTATCAAAATCAAACTTGTAAAGTAATTATAATAGTGAAAAAATCATAGAAAAGAGAATAATAACAAGCAATAATAAATAATATGACAATGAAGCGAATAACACAATAAATAATACTAAGATCTAAAATAAGTTAGTATGAACGTAAAAATAAAGAAACTAGACGACATCTGATTAAATACTAACCCTTCAATTTCAGTATCTTCATATCTAATATCATGTCATCGTTAAATTACATATATCATATTCATCTAATCACATCTCTTCCCTACATTTTTTATTTGTTTCTACATGTACTTGTATTTGACCATAGTCAACCTCTTAATCTTCATATCTATATTAAAGTAAGGGCAGAAGCATGACAAGTTGTCAAGTGAAAGTTTAATATCAAGCCAGTTGGGAGTTTTAAATTAAACCTCTTCAAACCATAACTAAAAATTTAACTATTCAAAACATAAAAATAAATAAAACAATGATAATTTGACCCAAAAAGAAAATTACCAAATATTATACAATTCAAGATAATATTATTGGTAATTATTCATATATTTTTCATTGCTTATATATTATTTTATGCAAAAATAAGACGAGTTAAAATTGTTTGTGATTTTGAGCTTGACTTAATTCTATATCGATTTGAGTTGTGAAAGCAGGATATGTTAAATTATTATTATCATAATTTTGTAAAAACAAATTTTTTTCTTTGCATGTGAAAAGATGATACTGGGAGTGTTAATTCCGAAAAAAAAAACAGGATATGTTAAATTATTATTATCATAATTTTGTAAAAACAATTTTTTTTTCTTTGCATGTGAAAAGATGATACTGGGAGTGTTAATTCCGAGAAAAACGTTTGTATTGAATTCATGTGATTTGTCGCAAGGAAATTATTAAAGATGAATTGAAGAGAATATATATATGTATGTTGATAACTTACTCCCATTTGTTTCAGTATTGCTCCCTCATGTGGTATGAGCTCATTCTTGATGTTAAGTGTAAACTAGTTGGGTCTATTGTCTGTAACTTCACAAACCGACCTGATTGAATCAGACTCTTCAGTTGTTCTAACAAAGCATGGGTGTTTCTTGATCAAAGTCACCACATTTATGAGCACTATGAAATACAAGAATCAAAAAGAAAGATTTCTTCAAGGAATCAACAAGACAAGAACATGTGCTGTCATATTGAACTTCAGTTACAAATCAAACATTAGTTCTCATAATTTTGTGTGTCATCTCAACCTAATATATCACTCCCTTTGCAATAAGACACTTGTAGTTGTGCCTTAAACTCGAGCCAAGGCCTCTCTAATCTCCAAAGATCAGCTATCTGACAATTCTCCCCTAACTTCACCCAAGAAATAAGCCTGGATAACTCTTTTTTCTTCACTTTGGGACTCAATCCTTTTACACCAATCCATGCATCACGAAATGCTGGGAAGCACTTCTGCTTTGCAAATTCATGGCACTTCCCATTTGCTGCTTCAAGGCAAGCCTCCATTTCACGTTCTTCGCATCTCGCCCTCTCTGCAAAGTCTTGATTGGAAGCACTGCCAGTGAATGATTTCCACCAAGGAGTTTTACATTTGTCTGAGGCTGCGATAGAGCAACCAATCCTAGCTCCAGATTCACATTGTTGAGTGACTTGAGATTCACAAGCCTTGTATGCAGAGGCCCAGGAGATAGGGTCTTTAAATGCGAGGATGAATTGCCCAACTGTTTCTTCTTGTGGGCCAGCCTTGATGGGACCTCGAAGAAGAGGGACTGGTCGGTCAAAAGGAATCAGAGTCTTTGATGCAGAGTACTCCTCGAGGTCGATTGATGGCACTTCTGGTTGTGGTCGTCCTGGTGCTGTCATGATGCAGAGTACTCCCTGAGGTCGATTGATGGCACTTCTGGTTGCGGTCGTTCTGGTGCTGTCATATAGGCAGTTTTGTTTGTTCACAATTTTGGGTCCTGAAGAGACGAAACCAATATCAGGATACTCAAAGTAGTTTTCTCAAGGCTGAATTGATATCATCACCAGTAAATGCATCTGCAACAAGGACATTTGGATAAGGAACTTTTCAAACTTTTGGTATTCTGTATAGATTGTTGGGTATGTTTTTGATAAAATGTAAGGAAAACAATTGTACATAAATCATTTAAGATAAAGAAGTTGTTTTTGAGAAACAGAATTTTTTGCTACTGGTACTCCATCAACGTTTTTGGATTGTCTTCCAATAACAAGTTTGGTTTTTGAAATAGACATGAGAGTTGTTTTGGAAAAAACTTCATTGGAAAACATCCCAAATTCAAACACCACAAAGTGTCTATATCACGAGTATCTAGAAGTTCTCCCAACACAAGGGGCTCATACTTCATGGAATCATGCCAAGTGACATAAACTGCAGGGGACTGAATAAACTGATAATATGTATATGCCCGCGGGAAGAAGGGGCTGGGTACAATATAAAAAATTGTACCCCCCTAAGTATCGCTGTCTCCTTTCGATAAGGTTGGAACGATACTTTAAGGGATACATAAAATTCATGATATACGATAAGTGTTACATTTCATAAGATCAATAAATAAAAACAATAAGCATTAAAAGCATTTTCATGTAATCTTTAAATCATTTCAGAATGTTATATCATTTCTATGCATAGAGGTATGTATTACTGTTGAGCGCTTCACTCAGAGGACTTCAGTTTAGAAACAAACAGAAGCAAAACAACCAGATCAACATTCAGTGAGGCAGGGAAAGATGATGAAGAGTGGTATATGTAGCTAAAAGGAAAAGCAGCTGTGTTGGCAGTACGAGTCAAGGAGATGCAGTTAGGGAAGAAGATCAAAACCATAGCCACCTTAAGTTTTGTTGGCTAAATCAACTGAATGAAGCTTTTAACATGGTGTAATATTGTCCGCTTTGGCCAAATCCACATGGTTTTTTTTCAAAAGGCCTCACACACCTCATATGTAGCTTTCCAGTCTTTTTAAGCTACCACTTTGTTTGCACGCCCAACAAAATTGTTGCCGAATTCCCATCGCTGATATCTTCATCAGGGGATCTCAGAAATCCCTTTCCAAGTTTAATTTTTGTATATAAATGACATGGACAACTCACATAATTCTTATTGACCAGTTATTCGAACTAGGGACTTACTTGGGATCCAGGTTGAGTACGGAAGCACGTGACAAAGGTTTTGGGATTTTCATCTTCTTTCTAATCTAATTTCTTTATCCTTGTATCCTTCCAATCAATAAATAATAGTAATGCTTATATTCCTTATTTCAGTTTATTAGAGTAATAATACAATCAATGAATCTTGTTTACTGTGAATTGGAATAGTGTTTGCTTCATTTCCTTTAAAGATCTCAATCGAGAAACATGTAAACTTGCACATAGAGTGAACAATCAAACAGATATATTTTACCAAAAGAACACTATCCAAACAGAACATTCCATTCCAATTAAGTTTAAAAATAAAAAGTTGAAGAATATATTTTTTAAAAAATGAACGAACAAACCATAAACATACCTACAAATTGATAGAGAGAAAGAGTTGGCAGCCATGGGAGACGAAATACTCGAGCTTCCGACTTTTTCTTACTTTGTTCATCTAACACTAGAAGAGGATTGGGCCCCCGATTCTTTTGCTTTAACATGGGCCTCAAAAACTCTTTTAGTAAATAACCAAAACAATTATGAACCTTTTACAACTGAAAATCACATGTGTAAACTTGTAATATTTTGTTGGTAAAAACTAAATAGTATCAAAATGAGAAAATGTTAGGCTATGCTATAACTATTCAAATTTCAGACTCCAATCTAATAGTTTATCGTGGATTATGAATAAACATTATATTTGAGTTTAATGTAATTTCTTAAAAAGCTATATTTAGCACGTTTTTTTTTTCAAGTATGGAAAAAAAATATAATAATATCCTAAAAAGGTATATTTGTATATCGGCCTATTTTTAGAAATATAATAACCAGGGCAATAGTTATATTTACATAGTCTACATTCGTTTTGCAATAATATTTATATAACTTTATGCATGTTAAAACAAGTACTTTAAATAACATGTGATAGCAAAATTAATTACTGTCACATTATAATTAAGTAAATTAAATGCACTTTCTTCCGTGTGATCGGACACTTTAAAATAATGTAGTAGCATGAATGTAAGTTGAGAACATAATATGTCTACATTTATTAAGTCAAGCTTGACTAAAAACATTTCACAAGTAATGTCAATCAATATTTGATTATACCAAATATTACTACTCTTCTTTTAAGCCATGTTTTATTATGAATTTTTGGCATATATTTTTTTTTCTCAATCCACACGAATGAAATAAATAAATATTTATTTTAAAATTATTTTTTTCATTAAATGACTTATTTTCCTTTTTTATTGGCTTAAAAAAGGATAATTTATTATTTTTATAGCAATACTTTAATTTCAGTTTGTAGTATGATTGATACAGTAACTTTAATTTAGAATTATAAATTTTTTTAAAAAAATATGGGCTTTTTAATGTAACTGAGTCCATATTTCAATTGGCTTTTGAAATTGTCCAATAATTCCGCCAGTCCCGCCTTTTTCTCCCACTTTTTACTAATTTCAAATATTTTCGCTAAGCCCAAAAAAACAAGAGATTATAAAAGCCAAATACAGCTCTCCTGTTTTTTTGCTCTCTCTTATATTCCCTCATCCTCCCGCCACTGTACACACTGCACGTTCGCCGCCGCCGCTGCGACCTACTACTTCATCTTTTCAGATATCCCAATGCCAAGCAAACGGAAATCTTCTCCGGCTACAAAGCCAGAGTCTTCATCCGGCAGTAGGAAGTCGAAGAGACTTGTAGTTGAAAGACCAGATCCAGTAGTAGCTCAACCATCTGATTCCGATTTTGAACCGGAACCTGTTTTATCATCAAAGAAGAAATCCACGAGACGAACAACAGCTGAAAGTTCAGTGGTAGCTTGTCAATCGGAAAGCAATAACAAGAAGTTGAAGAAGCCAACTGTTGAAAAGGCAGAATCTGGTGTAGCTTCACCAGCTGATAGAGATTTCGTATCTGAGTCTGATTCGGAGACGCCGAGCAAGAAATCCACGAGGCGAGCTGCAGTAAAGGTGGAACCTTTGGTGGATTCTGTAGCTGGGAGTGATTTTGTGGAAGAGGAAGAAGTAGATGGAATGGAGCTAGGGAGTCTGAAGAAGAGCTTGTCGATTTCACCTTCCAAAAGGAAGCCTAAGAGGGCTGAGAAAGTTAAAGATGAAGAGTGTGTACTTGCCGGTGACCCTGTTCCGGATGCAGAAGCTAGACTGAAGTGGCCTCATCGCTATGTAAGAAAGATTCTTACTTTGAGATTTTAAATATTCTTTACTTTGAAATATTTGCAATTTAGTTGCAAAAACGTTTAATATAATTTTAAATGGCATGAAATTATGCTTTCTATATGGTATATCTGATATTCTGCTGCCAAACTTGATGCTATCTGAAATAAGAAGCATAATTTAAGGGACTGTTGTTGATAGTCTATCAATCCGTTTTTATTTGGCATCATTTGTCTTTATTCAATATTTTACTTACATGGCTATTTCTTTTTGTAAACAGAATAAAGGGAAAGAAAATGGTACCAAGAGCTTAAATGGGTAAGTCTTGAACCACTTTCCACTCCAACATCATTTTTGTTATATATAAATTAGTTCAAGGATTTATGTGTTTTTGGTACTTTCATGTTACAGTCAAGATGATCCGGACCAGTTAATTCAAGCTAAGTGCCATTTTAGTCGAGCAGATGTTGATGGTCAGATATATTATCTCGAGGATGATGCACATGTGAAGGTAAAGTGTAAATTAACCATAAACTTACATTATTCAGGTCCTTTCATTGTGTTGATATACTCTTTACAATAGGTTTGATAGGAATGTGGGTACTTTTTATGTAGTCTTAATTATTAACTTAATGTTAAATTGTATCTGGGCCTTATTTGTGGCAAGTGGAGCTTTTTACAGATAATGGGTGGAGATGATACTTGGGGATCTAGTATGTTTGCTTACTGTTAAGGAATGAATATAGTCATATTCCTTGTAATATATGTGGACAACTTAATTCTAGGGGTTCATAGCAAATCTGTAGGACTTTCCTTTTAATTACTTCCATAGTTAGAAAGATCTATATGTATATAATCGTGTCACTTCATGTAATTTTATGTCAGCTTTTCTTCTTATTTGATATATACATGGTATTAGAGCCAGATTTATCCTCCTTGGATTTGTGGTTCATACTCTAGTTGGACCTTTGTGTAAATAGGTGTTAGCGTCACCTTGGTTGGTGAATTGCTTATACAGACTTGTGCAATTCTCCCTCTTGAGCTAGTTTTTGGGTTTGTGTTAGCATGGATGCCCTATCTTTACATCTACTTTGATATGTGTTTTCTTAGATAGCATTAAAAAAAATTCTGTTTCAATTTGTTTGATTGGTTTTGACATGACACAAAGTTAATGTAAGTAAATAAATACTTTTTAATGTTGTGGTTTTAAATTTAAGATATGTATAAAGTACTTAAAAGTCCTTTAGTATTGGGTTTGAACATCCCAGGATTAAAGTTAAAATTAAAAGAGTTGCCGTTGTTTGTGTTGACATTGGACTCTCAACTTACCATGAAACTGCTTGTATAGATTTGGTAGTTTTCTCCCTATGACTTGGCTTTTGGGGTTATTTAAACACAAGGTTCACACCTTTTATGGTATCAGAGCTAGATCTGTCACTGTTTAGGTACCTATGGTGATGTTGTCCACAATCTAATTGGTGGTCTTGGTGAGTTTAGGTGTGTGGTGGTTGTGGAGGTTTTAGAGTTCGTTAGAGTCCTACACTTATTGGGGAATGGATTGATGGTCTCCTAGTTTATATTTGAGCTATACTCCCTCATGAGCTAGTTTTGGTTTGAGTTAGGCCCAAGGTTCATATTTTACAGTTGGTTGAAATTTTTCTCCATTTATCATAGCCCAATTACTGTAAGTTGAGGTTTGTTATTTTACTTATGGCCATAAAATGTATCCATGTATTGACTAATTTTTATTATCTATCATGTAACTAGGCTGCTGATGGTGAGGACGATTACATTTGCAAGATTGTTGAATTCTTTGAAGCAGTTGACGGAGTGCAGTATTTTACAGCTCAGTGGTTTTACAGAGCTAAGGATACTGTAAGAAATACCAACTCTATAATCTGAAAGGTTCTTGCCCCCTGTGATGCTATCATGGTCTCACATCTCTTTTTCCCTGCTAGGTTATTAAAAGCCATGATCAGTTCATTGACAAAAAACGTGTATTCCTTTCTGAAATCAAGGATGACAATCCTCTTGATTGCCTTGTGACCAAACTAAAGATTGTTCCTGTGCCCTCAAATGTATGTCTTTGTTACCTTGCTGGTGAGTACTGTGAATTGGTATTGAGTGGTTGAACTAAAAATGCAGAATATTGCTGCAGGCAACTTCACAGTTCAAGGAAAATGTAAAATCAAATTGTGATTTCTACTATGACATGAAGTACTTGCTTCCATACTCTTCCTTCATTAGCTTGCCTCCTGGTATTTATTTTTTGTCGACTCTTTTCAATTATTGTCCAACAGTGTTGGTCCTTTTGTGTTAGTATTCAAGCTTAAACATGCCTAATTGAGAGGTCAATTCTTTTTAGATACTACAAGTCCAGTTAGTTCATCTTCTACTATATCAAGTGACATTGATGCTGGTGAGGTCAAAGAACACAATCTGGAAAAGAAGCTCTTGGATCTATATTCAGGATGTGGAGCAATGTCCACAGGGTTATGCTTGGGTGCCAATAGCAAAGGCGTTAAACTTGTTACTGTATGTTCTTTCCTTCAACTTATTCTATGTTTTGCCAATTTGAACCAGCAGAATATGACTTACTTTCTTGATATTTGATAAGACCTTTAGTCCTGTTAATACAAAATCTTGGATGCAGAAATGGGCTGTTGACCTTAACAAACATGCATGTGACAGTTTGAGATTGAACCACCCTGAGACTCAGGTGAGGAATGAGTATGCCAGTGATTTCCTATCACTTCTGAAGGAGTGGGTACAGCTCTGTGTCTCTTGTTCCTTGATAAAAGGCAGTGTTCCTCCACACCCTCATTTGAAAGTAACAGATGAAGTTGATGAAGATGAAGAAAATGATGATGAAGGTGAAGATTCTGGTGATGATAAAGAAGGTGAAATTTTTGAGGTCGAAGAACTCCTAGAAGTTTGTTATGGAGATCCAAAAGAGAATAACAAACCTGGACTTTACTTCAAGGTACTTGACCATTGAGCTTGGAATTCTTTAATTCTTTGGTAGAACACAGATTTATTATGTGGAAAAGCTGAAGTCATTTTATGTTTTTTTTTTCTGTGTGTTTCTGGCACTTGTCATTTTCTGAAATCACTTTGATTACTTTGTGCCTAGGTTCGCTGGAGAGGTTATGGTCCAGAGGAAGACACCTGGGAGCCAATAGATGGCTTAAGGTATACACATGAAACAATTTATTCTGAAATTTTTATGTTTATTTGTTTAAAAACATTGGTTCTAACTAGTTGACATTTGTATAGTGACTGCCCGAAGAAAATCAGTGAGTTTGTGGTGAAAGGCTTCAAAGCAAATCTTTTGCCGTTGCCT